TTTTCTACTTTATTTATGTAAGCATTTAGAGATATAAAACTTCCCCTAAGAACTGCTTTCGCTGCATCCCATAGGTTTTGGTATGTTCTCTCATTATTGTCATTCTCTTGAATGAAATTATTGATTGTTTCTATGATTTATTGTTTGACCCAATCATTTTTTAGGATTAGATTATTTAGTTTCCAATTATTTTTTAGTCTATCTTTCTATGGCCCATTATTACATATAATTTTTATTGCATCGTGACCTGAAAAGTGACCTGTCACTCTTTTTCAAATATGTTTCCTGTAAACAATATATTGTAGGATTATGGTTTTTAATCCATTCTTCAATCCATTTCTGTTTTATGGGAGAGCTCATCCCATTCACATTCACAGTTATGATTACTGTCTGTGTCTTTTTCTCCATCCTTTCCCCCCCATTTATACTTTTCTTTCTCCTTTTTCCTTTCCCCCCTTCACTAGGGTTTTGCTTTTGACTACCACCTCCTTCAGTCCCTCCTTCCTTTTATTATTCCTTTCCTTTCCTTCTCCTTTACTCTTACTGCTTCTTCCCTTCCTTCTTTCCCCTCCTCCCTTTTCTTTCCCTCCTCCATTTTCTTTCCCCTTTTCCCTCCTACTGCCTATAGGGCAAGTTAGATTTCTATACCTAACTGATAATGTTATGCCCTTCTTAAGCAAAATCTGATGAGTGTAAGGTTGAAATAATGCTCACTCCTCCTCTTCTTTCCCTCTACTGTGATAGGATTTTGTGTCTTTTCCCGTAATGTACTTAACTGTTGTCTGCCTCCTCCTTTCTCAGTACATTTTCTAAGATTAGATTGATCCACTCATTTGGATCCATTTAACCCACTTGATTAGATTTTTTTTTAATCATTACACCAAAGCCAACTAATATCCACCCTCTTTATGTATACTCCTTTAACATGGTGTAATAACAATACAGTTCTGAGGGGTTACAAGTGTCATATTCCCTTGTAGGGGTTTAAACAGCCCCCCTACCCTCATTAACAACATATTGTATCTTTCTGTCCCATTTACCTTTTTAAGTCCTTCCTGAGCCCTGTACTTGAAGATTAAATTTTTTGTTGAGCTCTGGTCTTTTTCTCAGGAAAGTTTGGAAGTCTCCTATTTCATTGCTTATCCATCTCTTCCCTTGAAAAATGATGCTCATTTTTGCTGGGTAATAGATCTTTGGCTGCATTCCAAGCTCCTTTGCCTTACAGAATATCATGTTCCACGCCCTGTGGACTTTTAATGTAGAAGCTGCAAGGTCCTGTGTAATCCTAACAGTGGTTCCATGATATTTAAATTCTTTCTTTTTGGCTGCTTGCAGCACCTTCTCTTTCATGTGGTACTTTTGGAATTTTGGTATTATATTCCTTGACATTGTCAATTTGGGATCTCTTTCAGGTGGTGATCAGTGGATTCTTTCTATGGTTATTTTCCCTTCTGGTTCTAGGACTTTTGGGCAGTTTTCTGTCTTGATCTTCATTCTTCTCATAATATGAATCTATGGTACTTTTCTTTTTACTCATGGTGTTTCTTTATTCCTTGGCCTTTAAAGAGATTGAGCTCTCCTGCTGGGAATCAGAGGGCACTGACCCAAGCTTCTTGTGTTGGGAGCCTAGGTCTTAGTCACAGGCTTTGTGTGCTGGGGCGTCTTATGTTGGCAATTGGAGGCTATAGGTTTCTGGCAGCTTATCTCATGTGGGGCTGGAATCAGCAAGGCTGGAACTTTCAGGCAATTCTAGGTGGCCTGCTCTTCCTTTCCTTTAGCTTTCTTCATCTCCTTTTAGATGGGTGCTTATCTGCAGCAAGGTGTTTATCTGCCTGGGACCCCCTGCAATGTTGTCTCCCTCATTTCTGCTAATGCACTGAGAGATTCCTTTGTGGTAGAGTGCAGAGGCACCTGGCGGTTTTCTGAGACGGTTTCCACCGGTCCCCCCCCCCCCCCGGCTCCCCACTGAGGCACTCAGAGGTCTAGGTGTTGGTTTGCCTATTCTACCACTTGTGCTTCAGGATTTCTTCACAATTGAAGGCTGCAGGGCTTCACAGCTCACCTGGTGTTGGGCTGGAACCAGCAAGGCTGGGGCTTTAGGAAGCCCTTTGGTTGTTTTCTTCACCTCCTTTCAGAATGCAGAAGGGTACTTATCAGCCTGGGGCCCCTTGTAGTTCTGCCTCCCTTATTTTTGCTGAGGCAGTGGGAGACCTATTTGTTGGGCTGCTGCACTGCTGCTCCCCATATTTCTTCTAGTTCAGCTGTTCCAGGGTTTTTTTTCTGGGTTGATATTTTTTGGGTTTTCAGAAGTTGATAGGGGTGAGTGAGAGCGGCTACCTTTTCACTCCGCCATCTTGGCTCCCAGAAGCAGAAGTGAAATATTTACTATTTATTTTGATAAATATAGTCTGAGTAGGGCAAGTCTGTAGCCTAGCACCTTGAAGTGTCCAAGGGAGAGGTTGCCTCTGGACTCTCAAACTTAGGTTCGACTAGTTTGGCCAAAGGAAGAAAGCAATTAATTGCTGCTCTTGACTAAGTCCTAGCTCTGGTATCCCAGCTTACCCATAGAGGTACCTGTTACTTCAGAGGGAAACAATGAGGTCCATCTGGTGTCAATGTGATTTCTCTGACCAAATTTTCTTTGGGGGTGTTTGAAGATAATAATAAGATTGAGGTAGACACAGAGTTGTATTAGCCTATTTAGTTTTAGTTTGGCCATGGGCTTTCTTAAGGACCATGCCTTAAAACTGATTCAGCTGCTTCTCACCCCCAATTGACCAACAATAGGTTCCAGGTCAAACCCTACTTCCTCATTGTTTGGGCCCTGATTGACTCAGAGTGAATGTAAATAGAAATTGTTTTTGTTTTGGCCAGAAACCCATAGGGTCATCCCCTCCCAGTTTGATTTTTTTTTTCTGGACTAAGTTAAAGAGGCCATTCTTTGCCTCATTTTTTTTAGCCTAGCCTTAATCACTAAATGGCCATTGCCTCAGTCACACTGAGACCTGCTAAAGATCTTAGCTTTGCAAGGCCAAGGTCTTCCAATGTATCTGGGACTATCTCCATTCTCCCAGATGAGTATCTGGCTGCTGGACCCAGATGGCTCTGGAGGAGAAAGTGAGGCTAGTGACTTTGCACAACCCTTCCTCACTTAGACCCAACTCGCTTATTGTGGTATCACCTCCATGATGTCATGATTCTCTTCAAGAACAGACAACAGGTGAGCATAACCTAGGGTTTACCATGTGGAAAATAAGTAATTTCATCTTTCTTGGGGCACATGGAGAAGATTGAGACAAATTTGGTTGACTACCTGGCTTGGCAGCCATCTGGAAAGTCTTTCCTTCACTGGATACTGCAGAACATTATGCCTTTATTATTGCAGAATGTAAAATCTTACTGATCTATGTATCGTTAGAATCATTACAAGATCTTCTATAATGAGTGTGTATATTTAAGGTCCTAGGTGATCTACTCTCCATCTGCAGAGGAGAGGTGACTGGTGAGTGAGGGGAACAGAGGATAAGGAATCTTGCCCACAGTCACTCCATGAGGATTTTTCAGTTTTTGTTTACTTGTTTTAAATCATAGTCTCACACCTTATAAAGCTCCCAAGTTATTCTTTTTCTTACCTCTTTAGGAACTGCTTGCCTTATTCAGATAATGTGAGTAACCCAAAGCCTTCAGACACTAGTCACAAAGCAGAATTTGATACTGCTTTAATTCAATTTCTCAAATCTATACTATTTCTTCTTCCCTTACGAATATTACTTTTCTCCTAACAAATAACTGGTAGACATAATTTCCACTTTGTCCCTTTAATATAGTTATTCTTTAAATGAATATACACACTAATCTTATTCAACCCCTTAAATTGATTAACTAAGGAATCACTGAGGAAAAAAATAGTGAATGTTCCCACAAAAATCAGTAATATACTTTCAGTGATACAAACAAAAATATGTAAATGTTGTTTGTTGGATTTTACGAAGCTGATACAAAGAAAAAAATTAACTTTTCCCATGCCTTTTTGACAGTAATTTTTTTTTCCCCATGACTTTGTGATCAAGAGAAGTGATGATCCAAAATGAAGTCACATTCTGTTTGGAAGTCAAATTTTGTTTATATAACTACATTTTACTTATTTCATCTAAACTAATAGAATGGCTATATATATGTAGGATCATATATATTTGTGTGATCAAAATTGCCCATTTTATATTCTGTGATCTTATCTATTCTATCCCTGTTTGATTATGATCCTTTCCTCTTTCCATAGCTCTGCAAGGTAATTGCTTCCTTGTATGTATGTATGTATGTGTGCAGATAGATAGATAGATAGATAGATAGATACACACACCAATACATGCATGTATATATACTCTTATTTGCTTATATATATATATATATATATATATATATATATGTGTGTGTATATACATATCTATACACACACACACACACGCACACACACATATATATCCATTTGGAGCTTATTTTAGTATATGATGTGAGGTGTTAGTTTAAATCTAATTTCTGACAGACTGCTTTCCAGTTTTTCCCAGAAGTTTTGTTGAATATTGAGTCTTTACTTTAGTGGCTGAGCTGAGACCCTTGGGTTGATCAAATAGTAAGCTAATAGATTCTTTTTCTCTTGTATGTTTTGTACCAAATCTGTTTCAAATCTGTTGAGTACCAAGTCATTTTATGAATGCTTTCTAGTATATTTTGAGATCTGGTATTGCTATATTCCATTTCTTCCCACTTTTAATTCATTATTTTGCTTGAATTCTTAGATTTGTGTTCCTTCAGATGAATTTATTACTACTCCAAGAACTAAAAAGTAACCCTTTGCCAGTTTAATTACTATGGCACTGAATAAGTGAATTAATGTAGGTACTGTTATTTTTATGAAATAAGCTGCATGCACAAATGGTCCCATTGAATCTCACCTTCTCCAGGAGAAAGTTTGATCCATAATTTCTCTCTCTCTCTCTCTCTTTTTTTTTTTTTTGACTTTAAAGAGAGGCTTTCAACTGGCTTTATTTTAACATGCTGAGGAGGTCCCATCTGGCCAGCCCAGAACATACAGCACTAAGCCTGGCAACTCCAAAGGAAAAATCAAGTGGTCATGATTAATTAACTCATCAGAAAACTGCTTGTGCGGGCAGAATTCGGAATGCAGGGAAGAGCTTGTGGTCCAGAGGGGCGCAGGCAGGTCCCGAGGTCACGTGACGCCGCAGGGAAGGACCCCTTCACTCCTTCTTCTTGTAGCTGTCCAGGTGGGATAAGATCCAGCCAGCGGGCAGGAAGAGGCAAACGAAGGAGGTTGTCATGGCGATGGCCTTGTACAGCAGGCTCAGCTCCTCCCGGGCCGGCCGCACGCGCAGGAGGCCGCAGGCGGGGCGCGTCAGGCCGCTCAGCAGGCGCGGGGCCAGCGCGGACATGGCGGCGTCGGGGGACGAGGCCTGGCAGGGGCGTGGAGGAGCAGCGACAAGTTCGCGCGGGAGAAACAACAGAAGCGGCCAGAGGCCCATAATTTCTCCTTAATTACTCCTTATCTACTAGATGCATCTGTATTTGCTATAAACAAATCCATGTCTACCCCATCAAAAAAAAAAAATTAATAAAGAACTTCACTTAGTTTGTCCATTCCTGCTAGATATCTACTTATCCCATATCTCTCCTTTCTTTTGTGGCTAAACTCTTTGAGAAAGTCATCTGTAATAAATGACTCCATTTCTTTTCCTCTGTCTGTCTCTCAGCTATCTAGAATCTAACTCCCTACCTTATTATTCAAATGATACTGCTCTCTCCAAAGTTGCTAGTGATCTCTTAGTTGGCAAACCTATTGACCAATTGTCAGTCCTCATACTTTTTGACCTATTTGTAGCCTTTTGTCAATCACTCTTTTTTCCTTCATTCTCTCCCTCTCTCTTTCTCTCTCTGTTATTCCAAATATTTTAATACGAGTTCTGTGTAAGGCATTTAAAGCACTGGTTTATAAGGATAAACTCCACTGGGGAGAGAAAATAGCCAAGGAGCTGAGGAATTTTCTGGATTTGGGGCAGGATCTGAGAGTCCCCTGTTTTTCATCAGCTTTGTGCTGTTCCTAATGTCATATTTCTCTTTTTCTGTGTCAAAAATCTCTCCTTCTTGGTGTCTAGGTTTACAGAGCCTCTTCTTGAAATAAGCATCAGTAAGATGAATTGGAAGTTTTACACCTGAAAGGTTAACCCTGGTAGAGGTGGCAATGACAAATTTCTGATGGGTCCTTCTTAAAGGAACATCGTTGATGGTCAGAGGTCCAGTCACCAGCAGCAAGCCACTAGTCAAACTGCTTCAGGAAAACCACTCGCTTACCCCTGTGGCAGCCAGTCAACATGATCAGAACCATGACCAAAGTGATGCTGGATCAAAGTCTCCTCACATGCTAGCTGAAGGGCTTTTTTGCCGTAACTTAGCAGCTTTCTAGGCACATCCTCAAGGTAATACCTCAGCATCTTGCGAATTTTACCCTATGGGTTCCTCCATTCTTATCACGACTAACTGGCTTTGAGATAGTAGCAGGTATCTTCTCTTTCTTTTTCCTTTCAATATGGGTTTTTGGTGCAGCGTATTTCCGCTTGGACATGGCTCTCTGGGAATACATTGCAGACCTCAAGTATCTTCCGGGCCCTCAAGCCAAGACTAGGTTCCGACTGCAGTGTTTTCTGGGCTTTTTTGCCACCTTTTCAGCCACATCTTCCTTTTTTGTTCTCTCTTTTTTTTTTTTTTTTTTTTTGCTTTTGCACCTTCTTTTCCTTTGGTTCCTTTGGAGTTTTTTTTTTGTCTTTTTTTTTTTGTCCACCATCTTGAGAGAAGAGAAAGACCAGATTTCTGGTCTTTAAGCAGAGGCAGGAAGCCTGTATTTCATTCTCTTTTCTCTCTAGTTTTAGAACAGGATACCATTTTATCCTTGCTTTCCTGCTACCTATCTGCCCTCAACTTCTCAATCTCCTTTGTTGGATCTTCATCCAGATCATATTTGCTAATAGCGAATAACCCTAAAAGCTTTGTCTTGTGCTGTCTTCTCTTTTTCCTTTCTATTACTTTACTAGGTGATATCAAATCAACTCCCATGAATTTATTGATCATCTCTGTGCTGATTATTCTCAGTTCTACTTATCCAACTCTAACTTCTCTCCTAATTTCCAAACTTTATTTTCACTGTCTAGTGAACCTCTTAAACTGGATGTCCCATACACATACTAAATTCCACGTATCCCAAACTAAAATCATTCTCTCTCCTCAACTCCAGTCTTCTCCTCTTGCTATAGTGGTAGGCAGCAACATCATTTCAGTCACTTAGGCTCACAATCTATTTAAGATCAATTCCTCAGGCTACATGTCCATATCCAGTTTATTGTCAAATACTGTCAATTCTAAATTTGTAAAATTTATTATATTAGTCTACTTCTCTAATCTGACACTACCAAAATTGTGGTATAAGCTCTTAACCTTTCATACTTAGACTGTTATAATGTCCTTCTAAGTGGTCTCTCTGCTATAAATATCTCCCCAATTCAGCCATGCTTCCAGTTAGAAGTCAAAATTATCTCTATAAAGTGCAGGTATAACTATATCACCCCCTACTCAATAAACTCTATTATTTCCAGGATCAAATACAAAATCATTTCTCATTCAAAGAAAGCCCTTGATATCCTGGCTCCTTTTTACCTTTCCATTCTTCTTACATCTTACATTTCCCCTAAACCCATATACACTGTAATTTAGTGACAATGATCTCTTTGAAAATTTTTACAAAAACACATCTTCTGACTCCAGACATTTTTGTTGGTTTTTCTGCTGTTTGGAGTTCTTTCCTTTCTCATCTCCACTTCTTTACATCCCCAACTTTCTTTAGATCGCAGCTAAAATTCTACCTTCTACAAGAAATCTTTTTCAATCTCCCTTAATGCTAGTGCTTCTCATCAATTATCTCTTTTATCTTGTTTATATCTTATTTATATGTAATTATTTGCATAGAGGCCCCTAAATAGATTATGAGTTACCTAAGAGTAGGGGCTGTTTTGGTTTGGTTGTTTTCATGTATCTCTGGGCATGCACGTGTGTGTTTGTGTATGTGTGTGTGCATGTATATATTGTGTGTACTGTCTTTCTATTTCCAACATTTAACACAATATTTCATATGCAGTAGGATCTTAACAAATGCTCATTTAGTTACATAAGGAATATTAAAATGTGATTGAATTGTGGAGGACAAAGCTTAAAGAGATTGTCCAAGGGAACATATGTTTTGAATGCTTGAAAATTTAAGAATTAGGTTTTAAGAAGAGGTCAGTAGCAGGAATGGGAATAAATTTGGAATAAGAAGATATAATCAATGTGAATGAATGAGACAATAAGACAGAGAGAAATATAGAGACAGAGCTAGTGTCAAGAATATGTACTAGACTAGAAAAACAGTGAATACAGACTATTAATGAAATTTTTGTCTTATACTACTTATCTATATCAAACATTTGCCGACCTGTTTTTAGAGTTTCTGTTAGTAAATGTAGAGATGTGGAAGGGTATTAACTAGGGAATGGAGCACGGGTGAATTTGACAAGTTCATGACAGAGGGGACATTGGTGCTCATCTAATCTAATGTTTTCATTTTGTAACAAAAGAAACTGAGACTTAGAGATATAAAGTGATTTTTCCAAGGCCATAGTGCTAGCTAAAAACAGTACCAGGACTTGAAATTAGATTGTCTGACTATGGTGTTGTTGTTATAACATTACACTGTTGCCATGGTCAAAAGTGAAGCAGAAAGTAAGTAACATTTTATAATAATGATGAAAATTTTAAATTATTTAAGAGGAGAGGCATCAAAGTTGGGTGAGGAAATTATGGGCAGATTTATAGTAAACAATTTATAACTATGAAGTGAAAGATACTATTGTAAGCAGAGAGGAAAGCCCATTTCTGTCTCTTTTCTGTCTCTGTTTCTCTCTGTCTCTTGTCTCTATCTATTTCTCTGTTTCTCTTTATCTGCCTCTTTCTCTGTCTCTCTCTATCCCTCTCTCTTTCTCCTGCCCCCCCTCAACTCACATAGGTTTAATAACATTCTTTTTTCTGATGACTCCAAAATATGTATTTTGAGCCTTAATCTTTTTCCTGACCTCCAGCCCCACTTCAACAGCTGCCTATTAGATATACTGAATTAGATGTCATGCAAACATTTCAAACACAACATGTCAAACTAGACCATTTTACTTTTCTCCATATCTACTTAGTTACCAAATCTTGCCATATCTGCCTCCATAACATCTTTGGCAAACAACCCCTTCTTTTACTCAAAATATCACAACATAAGTTTGATTTTTCATCAATTTTTATCTGGATTATTAAAATAGTCTCCTAATTGGTCTCCTTTTCCCCCTTCTAAAATCCAACCTTCACATAGCTGGGTATCAGCTATTTTTCTTGCCTAGAATATACTCTCTCCTCACCTCTATAGTTTCTCAGTATACCCAGCTTCCTTCAGCATTGAACTCATGGTTTTCCTAACATACTTCTTTCCCTGAATAACGTCTTACATCTCTATCTCATATATTTCATTTAAAACTTACTACCTGATACGTCAGTCATCTAGCTTTTGCACTAATTCTTTGAAGACTGGGACTCTCCACTTTTGTATTTGTATCCATAGTGTCTAGTATAGTTCCTTACACAGAGTAAGTGCTTAATACATTCATATGAATGATGGATTCATGAGATGATGTAGAGGTAAGAGGAGCAAGATTTGATGAATAAATAGAAAATAAAAATTGTAATGAGAATGCTACTTTCTTACCAATTTGTTACCCTAGGATTAGATGACCACAAATTTAGAGTTAGAAGGGACCATAGTGACCAACAAGACCAGTCCCCTCTTTATAGAGGAGGACACAGATCAGAAAGGTTAAGCAAATCCTTTCCCAGTAATAGAGAGATATTGGTATCTTTAGCAAGATCCAAATTCAGGTACTCCTTATTACAATTACAGTACCCTACCTAGCACTTAAACCTAAAATAAGAAACACATGTTTATTTATTTGAAACATCTATGTTTGGAATACATAAATCTGTGCTTGCGCATATCCAGGATTTCATAGCTATAAATGCCTATTTCCTTAGGGTATTGGTGGCTTAATATTTTAAAAAAGCTTCTGGGTTTAACAAATTTAGATCGTTAAACAAAATCAAATTGTGAATTACAGTACAATTTTTAAAATATTAGCAGTATAAGCATGATATCTAATCATTGGGCAAATTTCAATTGCCCTAAGTTACTAACAATGGTTTGCTGTTATATACTGCTTTAGAGATGGCCATGTACTTTCCTCCCAACTCCCCTATGAATTATGTAGTGAAAATATTATTTCCCTCTCCCTGGTACTCGCCGGTGACAAATGAGGACACTGGGGTGTCTAAAAGGCTAATTGATTTCCTATACTTTATCAAGTATCAGAGCCAGGACCCAGAACTAAGCCCAAGTGGGTGGTCTTTTTAAGGGAAATAA